TGCACCCATCCCTCATGAGCTGAACTAAAGGGCGTCACTTTGTGTTGAAAAGTGGTGGGGACAGGGGCTCAGATTAGGGGTCTGAAGAAACACTTAGCTCTCGAGACATCACGATATGCGATATCAGGTTCACAAGAATGAGACCAGAAGATCCTTAAACAGTGTTTAAAAGATATCCTCAATGCGAGTACAGTTTCACTGTATTGGGGGGTAACCAGTCAGTATCTGGTGTGACCACCATTTGCCTCACAAAGTGCAACACATCTCCTTCAGATAGAGTTGATCAGGTTGTTGATTGTGGTCTGTGGAATGTTGGTCCACTCCTCTTCAATGGCTGTGCGAAGTTGCAGTCAGGTCGAGACCCTGATGAGGACAGCGAGCATGCAGGTGGGCTTTCCTGAGACGGTTCCTGACAGTTTGTGCAGAAATTATTTGGTTATGCAAAATGATTGTTGCAGCAGCAGTCCGGGTAGCTGGTCTCCGACGATCTTGGAGGTGACGATGCTGGGTGTGGAGGTCTTGGGCTGGTGTGGTTACACGTGGTCTGCGGTTGTGAGGCCGGTTGGATATACTGCCAAATTCTCTGAAACGCCTTTGGAGACTGCTTATGTTAGAGAAATGAACATTAAATTCACGGGCTACAACTCTGGTGGACATTTCTGCAGTCAGCATGCCAATTGCACGCTCACTCAAAACTTGCGACATCTGTGGCATTGTGCTGTGTGATGGAACTGCACATTTTCGAGTGGCCTTTTATTGTGGCCAGCCTAAGGCACGCCTGTGCAATACCCATGCTGTCTAATCAGCATCTTGATATGCCATAACTTGTGAGGTGGATGGATTATCTCGGCAAAGGAGAAGTGCTCACTAACACAGATTTTGACAGATTTGTGAACTATATTTGAGAGAAATAGGCCTTTTGTGCACATAGAGAAAGTCTTAGAGCTTTGACTTCAGCTCATTATGAATGGGAGCAAAGACAAATGTGTTGGGTTTATAATTTTGTTCAGTGCAGATACATTAACAGTTTAACTTTAATTTCTCCCCCAACAAGAGAAACTGGTCAAAAGTAAGGTCCACAGAATATCTTTGTTCCAGCTGGATCAACAAGTCTTTGAGGGATCTAGAGATGTCTTCAAAACAGGGGTAAGTGAAAATCTTGATCACAAAAAAAACAGGGATAAGTGTTTTTCAATGTTTGTTTTTTATGTTTGAGATAAACAAGTGTATAGCTCCATTGACTCAATTGCAATTAACACATCTCACATGTAAAGACAATGAGAGGTACAAACTGTTTAATATACTTGTTATTATATTTCAAAATATGGCAATGGTTTGTATTAAAATTGATCTTTTCACATCTGAAGCATTCATCCAAACCGTAGCCCAGATCCGTTATGCAGTTAGCTTTAAAAAATGGGCATATTTATAAACTGACAAAGGGAATAATGCAACATTGTATCCTTGTTATGTATTCTAATCAGCTTTTTAAAAGAAGACACTGTCAACTGAATAGTACTTGATTACGGGATAATGACACTAGCGTTTGCATCAGTCCAATCTGCATAAAATGGAGGAACTGATAAAGGTCTTTCTAATTAGAATGGTGTTTACATCAGGCTTTACATACACCTATTAGGCGACCCTTGTCAACATCCGACAAAGCTGGGCTCATTGTGATAATACACTTTTATAGTGACTCCGACTAAAACTGTTATTGTTGAGATACCCATTTTAGATGTTTCCCGGTATTCTTGGTAATGATATGAAATCTACAGATGTTATTATGAGGGTGATACAGGCTTTGATGGCAGTGACTTGCTCATGATTATCATGGCCATTTAGGTTTTTTTTTTATCTTGAACCCTTCCCCATATCCCCTCTCATGCCCATGCCTTGTGGTAGTCATCGCTGTCTCCTTTAGGCAGACTGCTATGAACACATTATGGATGGGTGCATTAGTGAGTGATGCAGAGCACGGGCTGGCTTGCCTTGTTTTCGTGTGAGAGTGCATCATTAGAAAATGTTCCACTTGGCAGGGAAGCGCGTATTAACTGCAACCGCAATGAAATGAGGTTGTGATAGATGGTTAAAGTTATACAGGACTATTAGGTTGAAATATGAACCTCTCAATTGTCATGATGAAACAGAGGGCTATTTGCGTGGTGATCAGTGCATTGAGAGACAATTGGAATCTGCAAAGACCGATACAATACATTATAGGTAGTGGGCTCAGAGCTGAAAGAGTACAGAAAAAGTAATCATGCTTCCAGAGAATAGTTTGGAGCTACTGTTCTATTCAAGGCTCTATAAATTCATTTAGGGTCTCCACCAACATCTCAAGCAGCGTGATGAGACCTGGGGGAGATTTGCAAACAGGGCACCTTGTCTAAGCCCTGTTGTGGACTCTGATGAGCCATATACAGAAGTAAACCATGTGTTGATTGGCTTTCAAAAAAGGGCTTTTCAAAGACTTAAAGCAGACTGTGTGTGTCTACCATAATGTGTCAGTGTCTGCTTGGAGTGTAGGAGTCAATATCGTATTAAGAAAATTAGAATAAGCCAAGATGTAAATCAGACCCAGTACAAATGCATAAATGCAGCAACTAGCTTCCCTTTAGATAATGTCACCAGCCAATTAAGCATGCTCGTTATCTCTTATGTTTCCATGGTGACCTCCCAGTTATTCTACCACCAGAATATAAACTTCAGACCCTGTTTCTCTTTAACTCTCTAGATGTGAACGGAAATGTATAAATTGCATATTAATTGCTCTCGTACCAGCACAGAATTGCCCATGTGCCAGACATGATCTCGCTTCCTCTAATAGGAGTAACAATAAGTAACACATAAATCATTACAATAAGAAACACCTGATGGATAATTGAGTGCTGTGATGTCATGGTGATACTCTCTCTAAACTTAGACTTTCTTTGGGTGCACTGACTCTGTCTTAAACTAACAACAGATCCAATTGCAAACCCATTAGCATTTAATATTAGTGTAATTACTGTGTACATTTCATTATGTTCTCAGTATATTAAATGGCTGCTCAGTGTGGAGGGAGGGCTATAGTTTAATCTCTTTCTGTATTACTGTGTGCCACAGTACTCAAAACAGCATTAAGAGGCACATAATCAGAGGGAACTAATTGCCTATGATTGCATAAATGAAGTGCCTCACTCTCATCAGGGCTGTTGCTGATGTCCAGCCTCTTACCGCCATGGGAGAGGAAGGCGGTTGACCACACTGCAGAAATCCCTGGAAAGGAAGCTACTGGTTGGCAATGTGAGGAAACCAAAGATTTAATATGTCCACGGGAGGCTCTGAGGGCAGGGGATGTTACTACTGCTGATGTTACTACTGCTGATGTTTCTTGTTGTCATCAGAGTTGCCTCCGCTTCACAGAGAAAAAAAAAAGAAAGGGGGGAAAAAAAAGGAAACATGAATGCCCACCATTTGAGAAATGAATTTATCGAAGTCGCTGTCTTTTTCCCCATTAGTAAGTGTTTAGTTCAGCGTTTTAAATAATTGCGTTACCAGGAATGATATTTAAAATACATTTGGGAGTCAATGAGGCGGGAAAGTGCCTACATGTTTTGCTGATGACACCCGGGCCATTTGGAAGACATCAAAGTAGAGAGGAGGTAGCCCAGATGCATATTATAAACTCATTATGTATATCATTTAAAAGGATGTACTCCAGCCGCAAAAACAATATTCCTAGTCTCTCTCTGGTAATGTGTGTTTTCAAAGTTGAAACTCTTACTCGCCTTCAGTTTAATGTGGCATCTATTACCAAACTGTAACATAAAATAAATGACCTTGATTTCCATACCAGAACAGTCGTTAAGGTATAGATGAGATGCAGGGATGCTTCTGTGATTTCAAATGGGAAAGAAGGTAAAACCTCTCCACACATATCATGTATTTCTCCACCTGTGGTGCAGAGTTGTTTTTACACAGAGTTTATAGCCATCTTGATGGACTGGTGGATAAACAGACATTTAAATATGTGTTTTAATTCATTGTGTAGCCAATAAAGCACATTTTAATAGATGGTTATATTGTGTCAAGTTATGCAGGCCCAAAAATGTAATTTATGTATTTCTGCGTTATCCTTGCCAGCCATGAAAACCTGTTCTTCATGTCTAGAAAGGGATGGGATGAGTTTTGCTACTGGGTAGAAATTCTACCAGCACTGGAAAATGATGGCCTATCAGTCAAAAGAGATGTTTGTCAGATGCCTAGCGAGTAGGCTTAAGAGGCTTAATTATGCACCGTCCCTCTGCCATCAGAACACTACACGTGGGGCAGAGTGACACAGCGGTTGCCAGTCATTCAGCCTAATGTTCTAATGTAGGGAGCCATGTGAATACATAAAATCCATTAACGCTCTTGAAAAAAAAATATTGAGCAGAAAAATACATTTTGCAAACACAGTCACAGGCGCTTACAAATAGGGCATTCTTATTTGCTCCTCCTCAAAAAATGTCAAGACAAAATTTTAACTTGACAGTTGCCGAAATGTTTACTTTTCAGTTTTTACTTTTTAACTTTTGAAAGTTCTGCTGAAAGTTTTATACTCCAATGGTTTGCCCATTTTATATGGATTATTCTTGCTCAGCACATTTAGAGTAGGAGAGGTTGAATCACACTAAATATATCTGGAATAAGCAGTATTTTTCTTTTTTGTGCTGAATTTAAAATCTGTACATGTCTATGTTTATGAAGCAATCCTCCCATTTGCTGCTGATTACAGGTTTGGCTAAAAAGATAAAACATGTTATATCACCCCCAAAACAGCATATAATGTAGTTACAAAACATGCGTTTATTCAGCTCATTTGTTACTTGCAGCCTGACAGGCACACTTCATGGCTGTAACTCTGCTGTAGGGAAATAGGAGAGGCTCAAGTGGCTGCATGTGAGACATAAAAATAGCATTACTTGTCACACTGCAGGGAGGGTCTCATACCGAATATCAAAACAACTCTATGAACCAACCTTGTGAACAGCCGGCAGGCAAATAGTGGACATTAGTCAGAGAGAGGGAAACACAACACAAACAAAGAGAACAAGCCTGTTTCCCTCTCTTAATCATAATCATCTTACACAACTACTACTTTTCTCTGTGAGAGGCAAGCCATTCAGCATGTCGCGAGGCAGCTTTGTCTTCACACCCATGGCCTTGCGCTCTCTTGAACTTGATGAGGACATGCTAGAGAGACACAAGTACAAGAAGAAGCTGGCCTCCAGTCACCTCAACAATTACATGCTGAAAAAGGAGGCCAGGGCACCGCTGAGGTCCAACACTGCCCTGCCACCAGCTGTCTGCCAAGATGTGGTCATTCAGAACGCTCTGTATACAGGAGACCAGGAAGCTTTGCAGCGCCTCTTTCCTAGAGGATCCACGGCAAACCTCATCATTGAGCCACAGGGTGGGGACATGCGCTGGGTGGCCACAGGGGAAGGTAGGGGACAACATGGCTTCATTGGGAATTAATTTAGGAATTCATATGATTTGCTAAGTAGCTTTATTTTGTTTCCTGGAGATTAGCATCCAGTACTTTTTATTTTAACAAAACTGACACAACCTGTTTTGGAAAAGAGAGAAAGTAAATCACTGCTTTAAAATTATTTTAATGTGCAACTATGAGCAATATGCAACTGGTGCATCTCTCCCTGAGGCAGTATTTAAAGAAACAGTGATGCAATATTTTTAGAAACGGAACACGAGGCAATATTTATAGCAACAGTCATATGTCCACCGCATAATCAGACTGGAATCAATTGCAGCTTTTCATCCAAAACAAAATAAGCCGTATGCTATTTTATTTTGTAAGGAGAATTTTTACTCAGTTTTGGCGTGTTGAGTCCCTAGAAACTAATGTTCCAGACTACAAGTTAAAAAATTGTATGAATACTTGACACTAATAATGGGCCTGTGCAATACCGGATGTTACCAAAAGCGTTCTGTTTGTCAGAACAATGCATTTCTCTTAAATTTTTTTAATCCAACAGCGCATTGTCCGTTGACCTCAGTGGATCAGCTGAATCAGTGGGCAGATGACATGTACCACACCAGTCACTGGCAAGGTTCACGAGGTCTACCAAAATATCACATAACATCACCCTGAAATAGCCCTGTCTGTATAAACAACCTGCGTAAGTGCTTATTCCCTTCAAGAGAAACCAGCTAATACTTTGAAAAACAACCTAGTTAGCTGCAGTATGGCTTATTCAGTTTCTAAGATTAAGTGGCGCAAACCGAAGACGTACCGCAATGATGTGATTGCCACAGCCAAGGCCACAGGTTGTGTCCTGCAGTTCTGGAACTCTCTGCTTGTGGGTGATGAGCTAACGATACTCAGCATTGTGGACAACGATGAGTACAACCACCTTATTGATGCCATTTATGATACCAGCAACGTAGAGGAATGGAATGACTTCAGATTTAACTACAGAGGCCTGCGTAGGTTGCCAGAGCTTTGATTTTATATCAAACTGGCTACAGTTACACTGCAAAAAATTATGGTCTTAATTTTCTTCAGGGTACTGGGGTCTTTTTTTGAGCGTTATTGAGTACAGAGAATAGTCATGCAAACTGCTGTGATCCTAAAGGGTGCAGCTCAAAGTTAACTTTATGCAAATTGTACTCCCTGCTCGCAGGACTATGGTCTCTGAATTATGAGCAGGAGCTGACCACACCACTTCACATCACAGCTGGCCGAGGCTTCACAGACTGCATGAGACTCCTGCTGCAGCGTGGGGCCAATGTAGACCTGGCACCTGGGGGCACCACTGCCCTGCATGAATCCTGTGAAAACTGCCAGCCAGAGTGTACCAAACTGCTGCTGATCCATGGCGCCAATGCCAATGCTGTCTCTGAAGATGGTGTTATGCCTTTGCACATTTGTACAAGCCCCGAATCCCTTGAGTGAGTTAACAAGTCAGAAAAAAGTCTCCGTAATTAGTTAAACCACAGTTTTTACCTAAAGTTTTCTAACATCTGCTAACCAGCCACCATAAGCTACCGGTCATACCAGACCAAGTGAGACTAGCTGCTAAACAGCTGAATGTTTTAAACTGAGAGAGGGTGTATTCATTGCTAATTAATTCAACTTTTGTAAGAGGAAGTTTGTATAATTTCTTCTTTTAGGAGTTACATAGTCTCACTTTAACACCACTGACTCCTGTTGAGAGTGCAAACTAGCTAGCAGGCAAGCAGAGAATGTAAAATACATGTAGCTAAAAGTGCTGGATTAATGGGTGAAACAAGGAGTTTCTGCCACTTGAAGTGGTTATAAATAAAACTGATCTAATCTATATATGAGAATACAACTTGTGTTACATTACAAAACAAGGTTCTGTAATTCTGTCTGCAGATGTGCCAAGTATCTCCTTCAGTATGGTGCAGCAATCAATGGTCGCACAGTAGATGAAAACGACACTCCCTTACATGTCGCAGCCAAGAATGGCCTCCCAGACCACACTGAGCTGTACCTGCGCTACGGAGCTGCTGTGGACAAACAAAATGATGAGGGTCTCACACCCCTGAATGCTGCTTGTTCACAAACCCAGGTGGTGCAGGATCTTGAACGGTACTTCAAGGTGTGCCAGATGCTGTTGGGGAAAGGGGCCGTCGTCCACACTGTCGACCAAGACCAACGCAGTCCTTTGCACATGGCCTGTAAGAATGTAAATCCAGACATAGTGGATCTGCTGCTCGCCAATGGTGCCTGCGTTAACGACATGGACTACGGGGGTGAAGCTCCCCTGCACGACATCCTGAAGGTGGTGTGCTACAAGGTTTCCCATCACCCTGAGAGGATTGTACGTGCTCTTCTCAACCATGGTTCTATTCGGGTGTGGCCCGGAGCTCTGCCCATGGTAGGAAATCAAAAACTAACATGTTATCTAAAAATACTAAAGGATAAATTCATTCATGTTATATGAGCTAAAACATTTCAGATTGGTTTGTAAATAGTATATTGTATTAGCAGTATGAACCAATTATGCATCAAGGTGGCTCCTTCTGCATAATTAGCAACTTCTGCACATGTAACACCTTGAGAAAGAATCTTGAAACCCTAAACTGTTCCTTGCAATATTCCAACTTCACAGTCAAATCATCCCCATTTCATGACACAACATGAAGTGTTGCACTCTCTGCGGGAAACAGACTACAACTATCAGTGAACCCACGTGCACTAGAAAAAATGTCTGGTTCCTAATTAGGCAAGTGTTAATAGGAGATTAATTAGCACTAATTGCATAATTTCCAGTTAAACCCCTGGAGGGAAGACCAATCTGTTCATTTCACAAGTGTTTAATTACTTTATTTCTTCAGTTCTATGGAGTCACTAGCTCGCTCATGAACTTAAATGATGATTATATGAATCCTGTTGCTTTGTTCTGTGTTGTGGCATTCCTTTCAGGTTATGAGGCACTGCTCTGAATCGCCACGCACCATCGAGGTTCTTCTGAACGCCTACAGTCACCTCAAAGTCACAGACACCTGGGTTGAGTCCGTGTCACCGGAGGTGTTTAAGGCAAGCTTCTTAAAGAATTACTTAATGATTTGTCTGGTTTAACCAGAAAATATTGTACCACAATTTCACTATCATCTGTCTCTCATTTCTTCATATTATTTCCATGCCCAAAAATTGCATGTTTTGGGCACAGTGTCTGGACAGCAACAAGGCCATGAAAGATCCACTATAATCAATGCTGATTAAATTATTTTTGATAATTTATTAGCTCTTGAACTTTAAGTGACCCACCACATATATTCAGTGGTGGGAGAAACTCTGAGATACATTAAGCCTTTAAATACAGAATTCATTTACAAAAACATTAAGATGATTAAAATAAAAAAATCAAAGTGTGCAAAATAATAAAACGTCTTCTTCATGATGCACAATTTACTGTAAAGTGAGACAAATAATTTCAGTTCTTCACCACATGGTCTCATGTCCATCTGTGTTTTCATCCAACCAGGAGCACAAAGAGTTCTATGAATCAGTCTTCTCTTTGGCACTGACTCCTCGCTCCCTGCAGCACTTGGCACGCTGCCGACTCAGGAGCTTCCTGGGGGGCCGCGTACACAAGGTGGTCCCTAAACTCGATCTCCCCACCTTCATCAAGAATTATCTGCTACTAGAGTACAGAGGCTATGTCCACTGAAAGCACTTTGTGTAGTCTTATGTTAGTGTGAGTCCTGATGAAGATTGAGTGCTGCTATGTGTAAGCAGTGGCTGTTCACAATATATAATAATGGTCAAGATTATAATTACAATAGTGACATCTACTGCAGCACTATACACCAGGGCACTTAATATTTTTAAATGCATTTTGTAAGCTTTCCAGGAGGGAGAAGCAGCTGTTTGTTCTCTAACAACAATGTGTTTTCTGTGTCCTATTCCAGATCAATCTTTCAGTTTACTGTTTGATTTTGCACCACAAGAGGGAGCTATAGACTAGAGTTCATAAAGTATATAGCAGGTATGCAATTTTATGATTTATATTTTATGGTCACATTTGTTTGTGTTTTTTTTTACATTGGCACTTGATAGAAAAGAGGCTGAGATGCTTCTCTTTTTGTACATCATATTTATCATGGTAGAATAATGTTAGTGTGCATAGTGATGACGTGTTGGAGGATTGCTCTAAAAGATGTGCATACATAATTATTGATATGATGGTATTTTGGTTTTTTTAAATCAAAAATAGGATTGATATAAAATAAAATATTCCACCATGGACATGTAATCTAGACATTGTTCTTTTATTATTTCCTTGTTTTCTTCCTCGTTTTATTCTCCCATGCTTCGTTTTCAATTCCCACTATCGTTTTTTTTTTCAGGAAAGAAAATTATTAATGACATTACATTTCAAAAATACATTTCAAAAAATCAAACACAAAGAAAATTAAACAAAAGTACGTTTTAAATAGGTAGCTATATAGAGAGTTAAAAACTAAAAACAAGTTGCAACTAATAAATAATGAAAATTATGAATACAGATTATAATTTGTGCTTTTATCAAAAGATTCCGATAAGTTTATTCTTCTTTAACCTGGTCATATAATTCAGAAATGAATGGCAAGCTTTAACGCAACGGCGAAACGAGAAAAAGACAAACGACAAGAGTTCAGTAAGTTGCACCTGCCACTTTCTCCCATCAGTCATTTGCGAAAAAAACATGATCTTGAAGGGATCAATCTGGTCACATTTCGCAATTATCTGCAGACTTAATTTTATCAGTTTACCTTATAGCCTACTGAAAAAACAGCATTGACAAGAATCCCATCACCTCTTGTGACATTTAAAATATGTAGACTATTTTGTTATAAAAGGTTGTGGGATGCATATATAGGCATATTTTCGTCATTATTTATAAAGTCAAAATGAAAACTCTATATGAATGTAAATTTGCATGTGACTAAAAATTCGTTTCTTAAAAAAACTGTGTAAAGAGGAGCTGGGTAACTCAAAAAGAAAGCTCGAGAGAGCTCGGCAAATGGTTTCAATAGATCAAAGAGAGGTGCTGCTGAAGTCACTTGCAATTACAAGAATTAGCCTGGCCTGGCCCTCCACTGCTAATCAGAGTCGGTGGTGATATGTTTATGCCCTCATGCAATCAGACAACCAGTTGGAGAGCCCGGGCACCCAGGACTCAATAGGGCTAATCATCATCAGTTCCCATTGCTGTTTAAAAGGTGAAATGATCTGCGATTAAACCAGTGCTTAAAGAAAATAATTTTTTCTTTCTTTCTTTCTTTTTCTTTCTTTCTTTCTTTCTTTCTCAACATGCATTTCATGATCAGGGATAAATGTACGTTATATTTTTTTTTTTTTTTAAAGGAAAAACCCTTTGGGGATGATTTAGTTGACAGATGATGGGTAAGAGACGTTAAAGTTTAGCCTAAAATTAACATGTTTTTAAATAAATTCCCCCGAGTTCAAACAAATCTGACTTTGGCCACTATGTGCCCGTGTCCACACTGCAGTTGACCTCACATAAACGTCTTTTATCTGAATATAATTTCGCACAGAGTAGTATCTCTCCAGGGAACAATTGTTGCGGCACTTCTTCTTTTCTGAAGCCAAACGCATTGTTATCAGCCGCGGAGAATAGGACAGAGAGCAGAGAAACATCTGCCTCTCTCCTCCCTCCTGACTCTGATGCCCATCGGCCCCAATATTTCAACAAAAGCCACCGTTGTTTTACGCTGCCCCTTGAATCCAGAGTAATTACTTATCATCAATCAAAATTAATAATAGCTGATTGGGTTGGTGTGGTCAACGATTATAGAAGGGGAAGGGCTGGAGCAGTCTCTCACACCGTTTTGCAGTCAATGGTGAACCTGGCAAAAGGGGAGGAGGGCTGGGGGGGTTGAGAGAGAGGGGGGGGGGGTGCGACCCGTCTATTTGGTCTCCACTGGGAAACTACCGCCTCTCAAGACGGCCAAAAAGTCAGAGGCTGAATAAGGAAATGAAGCGTAATTTGAGGAAGATGGATGAGCCCCCAGGGAAACACCTCCCTTTCATTCCTCTTGTATTGCAGATGATAACCAATGCGCTCTCCCCTCTCTCTCTGCGCGCACACACACACACACACACACACACACACAGCATTGGAGAGGGGCGGAGGGAGGAGTTGCAGAGACTGGAGAGGTAGATAGAGAGAGCGTGTGTTTATGTCTCAGTGTGTGACAAATAAGAGGGAAAAGGTAGCGGTGGGGCACACAACAAAGCGCCCGGCTGACTGACGCATATAGAGTGCAGACATCCGGAGAAGCAGTACACTCAACAGCGATGACAGTACGGCAGAGGATCTACTTTCAATTCACTCTGTCTTGGCTCTGAAAGTTTTTGCGCATCGCAGAGGAAAGGACACCTGCTTTCAAGTTTCAACCAAATAAAAGAGTTTGCCTGCAAAATGCAGAGACCAGGCGGCCAAGGGACGGCGTTTTCAATCGACTCTCTGATAGGGACCCCTCAGCCCAGACCGGGACACCTGCTCTACACGGGCTACCCTATGTTCATGCCGTACAGACCTTTGGTAATTCCACAAGCTTTATCCCACTCGCCTTTGTCGTCCGGTATACCTCCACTCGCGCCTTTGGCTTCTTTTGCGGGACGGCTCACCAACACGTTCTGTGCCAGTTTGGGACAGGGAGTGCCATCCATGGTTGCGCTCACCACGACGATGCCAAGTTTCTCGGATCCTCCGGACAGTTTCTACCCACCGCAAGAACTCCCAGGTCCCCGTTTAAGCGCAGCCGACCCCGGAGCGAGGAGGCAGGAAAGTCCGCACTCTGAGGAGCTGCACAGCCGGGACAAGGGCTCCGACCTGCTGAACTTCTCGGAAACTTTTCAAACGATATCAGGTAAGCTCGGCCTTATTACTTATTTATTGTAGGCTATATTATCAAACCCAAATCTCAAAAGTGCCTTCCAAAAAATGGACCACCGTAAAAGCAGATATTTTTGGTGTCTACCACGAGAATTGCCAAGTTGTAGGGTGACATAAATATTAATAATACAACATTTATGACAGCCCCACATTCTTGGAGATGCCACCTGATCACGGTTAAGCTGTAAACGCAGTCATTTCAGACACATTATTTTTTATGAACATGCTGTAGTTGATATGATTGTGATTAGCCTATAACTGAATTGTTCTTCTTCATTATTATAGTGATGACTGGATAATTGGAGATCGTTTCACCACATTTTAAAACAACTTTAGGATAATCAAGTAGAGAGATTTAATTAAACCTGTTCTAATTAACAAAAAACTGAACTCAGTTGCAGTGAAAACTTATAGAACAACTTAATGTTTACACACAGGACAGCTGTAATGGCCCACTATGACTTGAGTTAATGTTGCTACTTGTTTCAACAATTCTGTTCTCTCTACCAGTTCACATTGGGTAGTGGTCGCTTTTGGCTTGTGCTCATGAACAAGTGACTCAGTGTTTGTTGTATTCTTCCCATTTTAGGCGAGACCAAACTGTACAGCTCAGACGACGAGAAGCTGGACCTAAAATCAGCAGACACCGTGTGCAGTGACCGAGAGGACAGCTCCGCAGACAGCGAGAACGAAAGTTTCTCGGACGGGAACAACTGTGGCTCCTTGTCCCAGAAGAACAAACTAAAAACCGGCTCGCAGGACGCGCTACCGACCGGCAGCTCCGCGGGGAAGAGCCGGAGGAGACGAACAGCTTTTACCAGCGAGCAGCTGCTCGAACTTGAAAAGGAGTTTCACTGTAAAAAGTACCTTTCTCTGACTGAACGCTCCCAGATTGCACATGCACTTAAACTGAGCGAGGTGCAGGTGAAGATCTGGTTTCAGAACCGCAGGGCCAAATGGAAAAGGATCAAAGCCGGCAACGTTAACAACCGGTCAGGAGAACCGGTGAGAAATCCTAAAATTGTGGTCCCCATCCCTGTGCACGTCAACAGGTTTGCTGTGAGGAGTCAGCACCAACAAATAGAACAAGGGACCAGGCCATGAACTCAGATGAAAAGTCAAAAATATTAATGATAAAACACTTACATTGAGACTCTATGTTCCAGTGATTTGTTGAACGCATGAAGCACAAAAAGGAGGATTCCATTATTTTGTCTGAGAGGTGAGACTGAGCAGAGAAGATCTGCTCGCTCGACAGATCAATTATTTGGCAATATTCTGTCATTTTTATTTATTGTTCTGTGAATATGTATATATAAATGGGTAAAAATTGGTACAAATGGGCACTATGAGATGAGACTGTAAAGATTTTTTTAAGTATTTATATGTAGGGCCAAAATGTTCTGTTGGTTATGTGCATGTCCTCATTTGGTGAAGCTGAAGTTTTGTTTTGTGTTTCGTACAATTTGTTGACCACATTTGCATGTAAAGAGTTTTTACATTTTGTTTTTGGCAACTGTAGAACCACCTTTGACAGCAATTTGTGAAAAATAAAAGACAAGATGTGAAGGAAATAATGACCAAACAAGGGGCAACTGTAAAGTATATTGACCTAATAAATTGCTTTATACGAAAGTTGGAATCCAGATTGAATCATTATTGTTTAAGAGAGTAAAGTAACTGTGTTTTTATGGTTGCGAAAAAAATGTCGAGGAATTAGTTTGTCCTGATAAAATTAAAAATGTGGCCAGCACTGTTTAAACATAGCGATTCATTTTGAATTAATAAGAATAGGTTGCAGTACAAGCTGCAGTGAGCCGGCTTTTTGACATTATTTAACACATTTTGAATTTAAATTATCACGGGTTATTTTAATGACGATATTGCTATATAATTTCTAAGTTTATGAAGGATTTCGCTGAAAAACTGTGGGGCACTTACATATTATAATATTTAAAGAGCTTGAGCGTTGCAACTTCAGTTCACTAACATTTGAATGATTGCACTGATGCAACGTTGTAGCTAAGTTTATACATTTGTTCGTTTGAATCCCTTTATGTTACACTATTTATTTTATTTTTTCCCAGAAACACTATGAACTGAAATGTAGACTGGTCTTTATTTCTGTTCCTTTTTTGTGTGTTTTTTTTTTTTTTTTTTAAATAGCAGCAAAGTGATTGATTTGTCTTTAGGAGGCCATGTTGTCTCAAGTGGACTGATGGACCCTCATTAGACTGGGCACATTCAACACAGTGTAATGAACTTATCCATCAGTCACTGCTGAGGGAGAACCAACCTGACAGCAGGCCTTACTAAATTGACAGCTAAAACAATGTATTTTGGGAAACAATAAAAAT